ATCAGGGTCCACGAAAAAGATACCCACGTGTGCATATGGGCACATCGGAGCCAGAAGAAAAATTCTGTTATTAAATTTTAAAAAGCAGAATCTCGAAAACCTTAAAAATCCTCCATGTATTATTAAGTCAAAAAAAGTTAACAAAATGCTATGTGTATAATGTTCCCACTTTTGCTAAAAAAGTGTGTGTGTGTGTGTGTGTGTGTGAATGAATTTACGCAGGAAAAGTTCTGAAAGGATATATTCAAAACTCATTTCCTTAAATGATGAGATTTCAGGTTTTCATTTCCTTTTTTTCTCATTTTGTTTTCTAAATTTTCTGCTCCTGATATATACTGCCCCAATAATCTCAGAAATGCAAAAGTTCTTAATGCCATAGTTAAAAGTGGGCTTTGTAACCAAATGTCCATTTCTCTTTCAATTTTTTCTTGATCACTCCCTAAACTTAAGAGTTAGAAAGTTAGCTTTTAAAAGTTACTTTGCAAGCCCAAACCTTAGTTTGTCACCCGAAAATAGTGTTAATAACTAATAACTATCCCCACGGGTTCTTGGTTTGAATTCAATAATATCAAGTAAGAAACACTCTGAGCACAGAGCTTCATGCTTAGTAAGTGCTCTCAATGTTAGTTCATGTTTTTTTCTTCTCTTCTCCTCATACAACAAATGTTAAAGTCAATTAAACCTTAGGGGGTCTATAAAAGCTATAACTAAACACCCAGGACTTTCCAGGATAAACCCAGTTTCAAATATTTCATCGTATTGCTGCACTGCGTATACTGATTTTGTTTTCAGATTCATGATTTTCATCAGCCTCATGTTTCTTTGGCCGTCTTATCACAATATCTAATGTCTTTGAGCGTTCACTATATGCTATCTGATCTTCTGAAATGAGAAAAAATAGCTCTGAGAGTCTGACACATAGCTTCAACCCTCACTCATAGCCAAAGCGTCTTACATAGTTAACTTGAGAAGTTATCTGCCTTCTTTGATAGCTAGGCAAACTTAGTTCATTGGAATAGTAAAAGTGCTTCTTAACAAATACATATTTTTCAATTATGGTAATATTAAGGATTCCATATTTAAAAATAAGGAGAAGTTCTAATTGCATTTTATAAAGTAAATATAATATCGATACTAAAAGATGGTGACATTGCACAGAAGCAAAACAAAGTGAAACAAAAAATCAGAACGGACTAATCACATTAAAAATCTTCAATACAATTTGAGCAAACAGTTCGCTAAAAAATATACATTAAAACCATGTGCCCAGATATTTAAGCAAACTAAGTGTCCATCAATAGGTGAATGGATAAAGAAGATGTGGTGTATATATATATATATATATATATATATATATATGTATATGTATATACGAAACAGAATATTACTCAGCCATAAAAAGCAAGGAAGCTGGCTATTCACAACAATATGGATGGACCTAACTGTAATATGCTAAGTGAAATAAGTTAAACAAAGAAAGACAAATACTATATGATTTCACCTATATGTGGAATCTAAAAAAAAAAAAAAAAAAACGAAGAAGAACAAGAAGAAGAAGAAGAAGAAAGAAAGACAAGACAAGACAAGAAAAGGCATAAATACAGAGAGCAAACTGATGGTTGCCAGAAAGGAAGGGGGGTGGGGGATAAGTAAAATAGAAGGGGATTAAGGGACAAACTTCCAATTATAAAATAAATAAGTCATGGGAATGGAAAGTACAGCATACGGAATGTAGTCAAGAACATTATATCTTTGCTGACAGAGGGTAACTACACTTAGCAAGGGGAGCACTGAGTAATGTATACAATTGTCAAATCTCTATGTTGTACACCTGAAACTGATATTATATATCAAAAAATGTTCACTTTTTAAGGAATGTAAACGTGTTTCAATATGAGGAGTTGTATTTACACAATTAATCAAACTAATAGGCTGAAAGAGAAAAATTATGTGATTATTTCCAGAGATGCGAAAAGGGCACCTGCCGGAATTCACTTCTATAAGAATAAAACAACAAAATAAGAATTGATGGATATTTCCTGGGCATGTATAAAAATTACATACATAACCTTAATACCCAAGCTGCTAAAATTAGCAATAAGAAAAGTGATGTCTACCAATTCCACACAAAGATGCTCAAGGAATCCATTGCTATGTAACATTTGCAATGACTAATACTTCAAACAAAATGTTACATAGCATTGGATTTCGCACCTCTTATTCCATTTTTAGTGACTCTGACTCTGTTGCTAAGGTTGTATATGGAATTTTTAAATTTATTAGTGTAACAAAATAGAATGTTAATATATAACTACTATCACATAATTTTCTATAATTAGTATATATTCACATATTAAAGAAAATTCCTGCAAGACCCAAAAGTAGACTTAAAAAAAGGAAGTCACCTATGTCCCTGGACAGAGACGCCAGTTTTTTCTAAATCAACTTATAAATATAATGCAATCCGATAAGAATCACAGCTGATGTTTTTTTCCTCAAGCTAAACACGTGGATTACAAAATTCATTTGGCAGTAGAAACAAGCAAGAATCACCAGAAAAATCCTGGAAGAAAAGAATTGTGAGAGAGGCTAGCCCTTTCAGAGGCTAAAACACACTACCAATTTTTTGTAAATCTCAAATGCGATATTGGTGCATAAAAAGATGGGCAAACCAATGAAACTGGGGAGCAAACAAAGAAAGATACACCATTACAAGGGCAAATGTAGCATATGGTAAAAACATCTTCTCAAATCAGTGGAGAATAGATCAACATTTTTGGTAAGTAACATGGAGATAACTGGGTAGTAATATGAAAAAAATTAAAAGGTATCTGTTTCTTATACCACACTCCAGGATAGATTCCAAATGGATGACATTTAAGTGTAAAAACATTAAAACACAAGTACTAGATAAAAACATGAGTGAATTTCTACTAGAACTTAGGGTTAGAAAATGTTTTCCTATTATTCAAAATTCAAAAGAACCATAAGAAAAAATAAACTGTATATATATAAAAAGAAACCTTTGCAAAGGAAAAGATAGCATAAACAAAGAGGATAAAAGCCAAACCGGCAAAAACATTAGTTCCTTATGTAACAATAAATTATGTTAGTGTATATCCCTAACACATATAAAGCTTCAAAAATCTTTTAAATAACTACAATTTTATACAAAGCAGACAAGAGAATAAAGCAAATGGTTCACACAAAAAAATAAGGACTTAATTATATGAATAGTTGCTCAATTTCAGTTATAACAAAGGAAATCTGTTTCAGATTATCATTTCTTATCTATTAGGTAGCAAATTCAAATGTGTTGGTTTGACAAAAATCCAGTTGACAAGGCTTTATTTAGGCAACCAGGTACTTTCATATATTGTTTATGGAAATAAAAAATGGTACGTTTTTTTATAGAAGGGAATTTGGAAATATCTGACAAAATTATATGTGCATTTAAGCTTTGACTTAACAATTTCACTTCTGGGAATATATCCCAAAGATACACTGGCAAAATACGGAAAGGAAGGAAGGAAGACAAGACTGTGATTTCAAGATTATTATTTGCAATATTAATTATAATAGCAGAAACATGGAAATGACCCAAATGTTTGTCAATAGGGCATTGGATAAATAAATTCTGAAACACGGTTCAGTAACATGAAGCTCTGTAGAAGAATTGATACCCAGGACATGCTATATGAAAAAAGCAAGGCAAGAAAAAGGTGAATAGTGTGCTATTTTTAAAAATGTTTATTTATTTATTTATTTATTTATTTATTTATTTATTGGGGGGGGGGGCAGAGAGAGAAAATCCCAAGCAGGCTCCACACTGTCATTGCAGAGCTGGATGTGGGGCTCAAACTCACAAACTGTGAGATCATGACCTGAGCTGAAATCAAGAGTCCTGTTGCTTAAGCAACTGAGCCACTCGGGTGCCCCAGTAGTGTGCTATTTTTAAGTAAAGAGCATATGAGTAGGAGTTCCTACCTGCTTATATTTGTAAAAAGCAAATGATGGAAGTGTAGGGGAGAAAAAAAATTTTCCTCTACCCTTCTAGATTCTTTTGACTGCTCTATTAATTAAATTGACAGAAAACAGATTAACAGAAGAAAAACAATTACATACATGCAGGAGCCCCCATAAGAATATGAGACCCCCAAGGTACTCAGGCAATTGAAGTTTATATGCCATTCTGAGCTAAAGAGAAGGGGTTGGGGGCCTGAGATTTCAAAGGAAAGAAAAACAACTTAAGGAAGTTAGGAAGAGCTGATGTTTGTAAACAAATACTTGTTATGCCTTGCAGACAATGGGACACAGACAGCAATTTGCTCTCTTGGTTGTACTGAGCCTACCTCTGCCCTACCACACCTAACCCACATTCTCTGTCGTTATCCCTAGTGATAGTTCTGTCCTGGACCAGCTCTTCGATCTAAATTCTTTTAGGCAGTTAAGGAGAAGGTAAACATCCTCCTAAGTCCTTTGGACCTTGACTAACTTCAGTTCAAAGTAATCCACATGCCAAATGGCACATTTGGGGGAGGTTCCTTCGGAACTCCTTCAGAAGATAAACCATAAAATCAAAAGAAAATGGGTACCTATGGGGAATTGCTTTGTAGGTTTGACTCTCAAATCATGCAAATTATTTACACAATTTAAAACAATTTAATTTTAAATTATCAATTACTAATAATGGAAAGTGTTTTTAAAAAGAAGAGAAAAAAGAAACCACAGGGTCCAAATGGGGCCACTTGCCCCTCTGACAACAAACCGAGACTTAATTGCAAGAATGTGACCTTTACCCAGTCAATCTGGAATTTCCTGATTAGCATTAGGGAGGTGAGCAGCATGAAAGAGTCCTGCCCTTCCCCCAAAGGAAGGGAACCTTGCCTGAAACAATTCCTTTCTTTTACTAGTAATTTCCTTGTCCCAACCCACTTCTGCCTATAGAAGTCTTTCGTTTTGTACGGCTCCTCAGCCCCTGTCAACTTGCTAGACGGGATGCTGCCCGATTCTTGAACTGCTGGACAAAACCAGTTAGGCCTTCCGACTTACTCAGTTGAACTTTCATTTTTTTAATAAAAGTGAAATGAAACAGATGAACTTCATTGAAAGTCCACTTTTGTGTCAAATCCACAAGAGAACAAGAAATTCAAGTGATGGGGAAGCACAGTGAGTTGACTTTTTATTCATAGTGGGATACAAAAAGAACCGGTCCCACCCCCAAATACGTGTAAAAGTTTTAAAGTGATGATATTGGTCATGACAATATTATTTTGAGATTGTCGCATTTGCTTTGAGAGACAATGCAGTTGAATAATTATGTCAAATGTAAACTTTACGACAGCAAAGAAGGGACCGTGAAGCAAATAATCCATTTTCTTCAATGTAAACGAATTGTAGGAAAAAGAAAGGTTGAGACAGCCTACAGGTTAAAATAAACTGAAAACACCTATCAAACAATCACAATAGATAGACCTTATTGAATGCTGATTCACACAAGAAAAGATGTTTTTTAAGAGGTGGCCTTTAAGAGACGACTGGAAATTTTAATAAGGCTGGACACTTGATATTGATAACTTACGGCTGTTTTGTTTATGTATAGTAATGAAACAGGGGTTATGCTTTAAAAAGGAATTCTTACCTGTTTAACATACATCTTGATGTATTTAAAAATGAAATGATATGATAATGAGAATTAGGTCATAAGAATAACAGAGTAGAAATGAGTGGGAGTACCGAGGAAATAAATTGACCATCAGTTGATAATCATTGAAATGGAGTGGTGAGGACATGTGGAGGCATTATATTATTCATTCGATTTTTGTGTATATTTGATATTTTCCAAAATAAGATAATAAGAAATGTCAACCTCATAAAAATACAGAGATTGCTAACATTTGTTAGATTTATAAATGAAGCATAAATTTACAAGATGAAACTAAAATCCTAAGGAAGACCTAGGTTTTGTGAATCTGTAACTTTAATAAATTGAATTCCAATTGTTTAAGGCAAGATGCAACTTCTGAATGTGTTTCCTATGTATAAAAAACCAATCTCAGGGGCATGAAAATGCAAACTTAACAACACAAAGGCTTAGAGGAAAACAGCCTGGACTCAAATTCCTTCTCACCTGGAACTAGAGTTATAAAATACAAAGTGCTTAGAACAGTACCTAGCACAGAGGTAACAGTCAGGAAATTTCAGCAATCATGATTATCATCAGCCTGGGCATTGGAAAGAGAAAGGACCTTTTTCAAATATTGACCCTTCCATTTATGAACTAGGGACAAGTTATTTGGTTCCATTTAAGAAATACAGATGAAAGCGTCTTCTGTGTGCTCACCCTGAGAAACTGGGTCACTGATGTCAAGGTGTTAATAATCTAGTCTAAAGTAAATCTTTTTCTTCAGTTCTAAAACTGTTATCCTAATAATCAAAGATCATAAGTTTTCACCGACTGGTTTTGCAAATGAAGTGAAACTAGTTCTAACAATCTAACTAGAAAAATCCCCAAATGAAAACAAAAAAAAATTCTGTTTGCAGCACCCTGCCAGATGAAAATAGTCTGAAAGAATGGAAATATTTTGTGCTTTTGTTCACCACGCCAACTGCTGGTGTTGATCTGCTCTCTAAAAGGACCTACCCACTGCCCTCTGTTCAACGAACTTCTTGTCTTTTCTATTAATCCAGAAAAGATTGCATTAATTCACAAATTGCAATTTGGATTTAAATATCAGGCCCTCCTCCATTTTGTTAATGTAATTTATCACATTAGGGGTAATTTCTGATGCTTGGAAACCCAGCACCATCACCTTTCATTCGTGCATTCAACAAGTCTTTTCTACTGCCTACAACATGCGCGAGTCTGAGCTAGGAATTGAGGCAATCACTAAACACAGATGCAAAAGAGCTTATGCCTTAGCAAGACAATAAGCAATATACCTTACATGAATAAATTACATAGTATGTTAGATAGTGAAATATGCATGGAAAAAATTAATGAGTACAGAAGCATGAAAGAGGTGTCTAATAACATTTGCTGACTGATTATATATATATATATATATATATGTATATGGTGTATATATGGTATATGGTGTGTGTGTGTGTATACTGTGTGTATATATATATACACACACACACACATATTTGACTTCTATATGGTGTCTTCTATACACACACACACACATTTGACTTCTATATGGTGTCTTCTATACACACACACACACACACACACACACACATATTTGACTTCTACCAATCTCTGTAGATAGTTGTCTATGAACAACTCCTGATACTTCACAAACAATTGTTTCGGCTGACACCCTCTTAATTTACTGGTAAGAGTTTCTGTTCTTGGGAAAAAATCCTTTGGAGTTCATAATACTAACATATGGTGTTCTCAGTCTTTCAGCAACACAACACATCTATTGCTTCCGTAGAGTCCAGTGGAACCCATACTCCCATATCACACTTGGTAAATGTTTCCTCACTGAGCGTCCTACACTCCTGGTAGATTGCAGCTTGGGCTGGTTTTTCATTTGTGTGTTTTTAATCAAGTACCTTCCGACAGAGCACATACTCTTTGCCGCCACCTGAAGATTCCAAGCAAACTCTGAATGTACAGCCAGAGCTCTCCACTCGGGGGTACCAGGACTGTTGAGGTGAGAGGGCTTTGAGAGATGAGTTCGACGCCTCCCTCTGTAGCTGGGTGCTCTTGAATGCTCACTTTGCCACCTGGTCTAGTCTATTGGCCAGTGACGGCCAACACCATGCAGCAATGTGATTCTTTCCCCGCGGCTTTTGCTATCTGGGATCTCTCTACTGCCGTAGCAGTCACACCTGTGCAATCACGTAGGGCCTAGAAGGGGGATTCTGTACAAAAGTACCAGAGGCCTCCTCTCCGAACTCTTACGGGGCTGCTGAGAAGTTTCGTGCTTAGTTGTAACATTTAGCCCATCCCCTCCCTGCCTGTCCATCTAGGTTGGTTTTTCCTTTCTTGTGTTGACTCCCTTGTTTGTGAGAGGGATCAGAATGTGACATCCCAAAATACGCCACTTTGGCATCAGGCTTATTTTGAGCTGAAGGCAATTAAGAAACTGCAGGGGCACCTGGGTGGCTCAGTCAGTTAAGCATCAGCTCAGGTCATGATCTCGCGGTTCGTGGGTTCGAGCTCCGCGTTGGGCTCTGTGCTGACAGCTCAGAGACTGGAGCCTGCATCGGATTCTGTGTCTCCCTCTCTCTCTCTGTCCCTCCCCCACTCAGGCCCTGTGTGTCTCTCTCTCAAAAATAAAACATTAAAAAAAATTAAAAAGAAAAAGAAAAAGAAACTGCATACACAAGAGACCTGGGTCCTATCTCTGCCTAAAAGCCGGGGCACAAAATTACCTTTTGTGAAGGAAATTTACATTTGTAAAGGTGTCCTCCTCTTAGGAGACAACTCTTAGCATCTGAGATGACTTTGATCTGCATGACAAACCTTATTAATCATTCTTAGTCACCTGCTCACAACTTACCTCCCTAGAAGCCCCAATCTCTGCTTTCCTTTACCTATTCACTTCTCTGTCCTTGATTACAGTTTGTTAAAATGCTATATAAGCTCTTGGGTCAAACCACCTCTTTGGGGTTTTTACTTTTCTGTGAAGCCTCCATATGCATGTAAAATTAACCTTTTTTCCTGTTAATCTGTCTTTTGTCAGTTTAATTCACAGACCCCAGCTACAGAACAGAAGAACAGAAGAAAAGGGCCTGAAGACGTCAGCCAAAGCTGGACCTCAGGCGGCTGAGACTGTCGGCTAGGAAAAGGAAGATACTTCTCCACACTCTCTTTCCTTTGACTAGCAAAACCTATGTTTCCCTCCAGAAGCAGTTCATTTATCACTTCCTCTTGCAGCCTTGATGCCCCATCAGAATTTATATCCCCAACCAATCCTCCATGGTCCTTATACTATTATATCGATTGGTATACACGCCAAAGGGGATCAGAATTTGTCACTTCAAAATGCGCTCTTTTGGCATAAGGATTATTTTAAGCTTGTTGTTTTTAAGAAACTACAGACACAGGAGAAGCTCTGATAACCAAATAGAAGTTACCCGTCTTAAGAGTCACATAAACACATAAGGAAAGCCTCCATTTATAAGGGCGTCTCCCTCACTGTCCAGGGAAGAGAGGGTGGCCAGATCTCTAGAAACTCTGATCAATGCACAATTCAAAGACTTAACTCTCCATAATAAGCATACTTTTGTTTACTGTGCTTTCTAATAAGTTCCCGGAAGTGGTGCCCCAACCCCCAACATACTGCTTTGCTTTGGTTGAGATGATTTTACCATGACAGCCTAGGCTGTTTCATTTTTTTTTAAATATAATTTATTGTCACATTGGCTTACATACAACACCCAGTGCTCGTCCCAACAAGTGATGGCCTGGGCTATTTCAAACACTTACCGCTCTTCCTGGGTATCATACACAGGGGGTACATATGTTATAAAAACTGTATGTCTTTCTTCTCTTAATCTGTCTTTTTATTACAGGGGTGTAATAAAGCCTAGAAAGATAGAGGGGAAATTATTTTTCTTCCCCCACAATGCCTTTCTCCCCAGAGAGGCTGTAAGATCTTTAATGGTGAGACTAAGACATATGGTATTTATCATTGCAATTCCCAGGATTAAAAGTATGGTACACCCTAGAAAAAATAATAATAAAATAAATTAAATTTAAAATTAAGGGGCGCCTGGGTGGCTTGGTTGGTTAAGCGTCCGACTTCAGCTCAGGTCATGATCTCACGGTCTGTGGGTTTGAGCCCCGCGTCGGGCTCTGTGCTGACAGCTCAGAGCCTGGAGCCTGTTTCAGACTCTGTGTCTCCCTCTCTCTCTGCCCCTCCCCTGTTCATTCTCTGTCTCTCTCTGTCTCAAAAATAAAATAAAATGTTAAAAAAAATTAAAAAAAATAAATTTAAAATTAAACGCTTTCTGAGAAAATGATACCATCTATCAAGTATTTACTTTAAAAATATTGCACATAAACTTGGGTGTTTTCTTTTCTTTTTTTAATGTTTATTTATTTTTGAAAGAGAGAGAGAGAGAGAGCACAAGCAGGGGAGGGACAGAGAGAGGGAGACATAGAATCTGAAGCAGGCTCCAGGCTCTGAGCTGTCAGCACAGAGCCCAACACAGGGTTCGAACCCACTGACCACGAGATCACGACCTGAGCCAAAATCGGACCCTTAATCGATTAAGCTACACAGACACCCTTAAACTTCTGTGTTTCAATTCAAGCTTCTTGTTTAAAGAAAAGACAGAGATTGAGGAACAAGTAATATATGATCAGGAAACAAACAGTGTGGATTCTTTGGGCAGCTAACCTGATTTCTTTAATAAGTCAATGGCATGGAAAAGAAGGCAAGAATACTCTTTTAGAATAAAAAAGACTTAAAAATATATTACAACAAATAGCAACATGTAAACCTGTTATAAGACATTTTGAGATGGTTAGGGGACTCTGAGTAGGGAGAGAGTATTAGGTAATACTAAAAGTTATTGTTCACTAAGTATAAAAACAGTATTTTGGTTGTGAGTGAAATGTCCTTATTTAAGGGTATAATAATGTGATGTAAAGGATTTTCCTGAAAATACTACAGCAAAATAAATGGAGTAATTGATAAAAAATACAAATAAGGCATATGTAGGTTATGCAGTACAATAAATACATATATTTGGTCTTTGTCCCCTATTTCTAAACCAAAGCTCCTAAAATTCTTGGAATTTCCTGAGTGATAGGTCTTTTGTCATTAACAAAAAAAAAAATCCCTCTCACTCCCACCTGAGTTTATGCTAGTGAGGTGATTTGTGGGGGTGTCTTAGATGGCTTCAAGATGGGGGCTGACCACCAGAGGAACTAACCATGTGATTAGGGGGTTAGAACTTCCAGCCTCACTTCCAACCTTCAGGGAGGGAAAGGGGACTGGAATTTGAGTTCAATCACCAATGGCTGACGATTTAATCAATCATGTCTGTATCATGAAACCCCATACAAAGATCCTAGAGAAACAAGGTTCAGGGAAGCTTCTGGATCGGTGAACACTTTGATAGGTTAGAAGAGTGGCATGGAAGCTGTTCCCCCAAATTTTATCCTGTGCCTCTCTTCCATTTGGCCGTTATTGAGTTGCGTCTATTGTCATAAAGTGATGATCATAAACAAGGCGCTTTTTTGAGTTCTGTTTGTCATTCTAGTGAGTTATCGAACCCGGGGGAGGTAGCCTGAGATGTCCCAAATTTGTAGCTGGCTAAGCAGAAGTGCAGGTAACCTGGGGACCCCATATGCGCTGGCATCTAAAGTGGGGACAGTCCTGTGGGAGTGAGCTCTTGACCCATGTATGGCATCTGTGCTTGCTCCAAATGGGTAGTATCAGAATTCAGTGGAGTTGGGCATCGCTCAGTTGGTGTTGGGGGATTGCCTAAATGTTGTTGAAAAATGACACAGAGTAATTATGGCAAAATGTCGGTAATTGTTGCATCTGTGAGATGGGCACAAGGCAGTCCGTTACACTATTCTTTCTGCTGTTGTGCGTTTCAAAACTTTCCTACCAAAAACATTAAAAACTTAAAGAGACACTTTTTTTTAATGAGTTTGACCATTCTGACAATATTTGCAAAATATAGACATCATAAAAAGATATAGTGATACCTCATGCTGATTTTAATTTGCATCCCTTTTATGACTAATGCTGTTGAGCATCTTTATATGTGTATATTGGGCATTTATATGTCTTTTTTTGTAAAGCATTACTTCAGTTAACTTTCCCTAAGGAAATGACGCCATGTGTCCACAAAAGGATGTGTCTAAGAAGGTTCGTGGCAGCTTTATTCGTAACAGAAAAAATATAAAATAAAATAAAATAAAATAAAATAAAATAAAATAAAATAAAATAAAGGAAGCAACTCAAATGTCCACCAGCAGGAAAACAGACAGAGAAATGGTGACATATTATGCAAGGAAATATTACTCATCATTAAAAAGAACAAACTACTTGTTAAATGGAGCAACATAAGTGAATCCTGAAAACATTGTGTTCAATTTAAGAATCCAGACACAAAAGAATACATACTGCATGGTTTCGTTAAGAATTCCAAGATCGGGCAAAATGGATCTGTAGGTATAAAAATGAAAACAATGGTTGTCAGTGGAAGATGAATGGAAAAGGGTAGGAGGGAACTTTCTGGGGTGACAGAAAGGTTCTATTATTTTGAGTGGGCTACTGGTTAGCCAGGTGCACACATTTGTCAAAATCCATCAAATTCTATACGTAAGATCTGTATATTTTATTCTATATAATTATATTCCAACTTAAAGAGAGAGAGGGAGAATATACCTAACACAAAGGAATGTGTTGTTAGTGATGGTATTTCAGACATTAGCAAAAGAGGTTTTTTTTTTAAGTTTATTTATTTTGAGAGACAGTGTGTGTGTGTGTGTGTGTGTGTGTGTGTGCACATGCATGTGAATGGGGGAGGGGCAGAGAGAGGGAGAGAGAGAGAATCCCAAGCAGGTGCTCTGCTGTTGGCACATGGCCCCACCCAGGGCTCCACCTCATGAACCGTGAGATCATGACCTGAGCCGAAATCAAGAGTCACATGCTTAACTGCCTGAGCCACCCAGGCGCCCCAGCAAGGGAGGTGTTTTAAGGTAGAAGGACACATCCACCTGGTCTTTCTGCCAGGAGGGAACCTGTGCCTCAGGACTCTTACGATCACCCTGAGAAATCCGCCTTTGCTTAAGCATCAGTGCAGGGCAGTCCGCGGTCCTCCCTGTCTGAACTTCTCTTGCTACAGTAGCAATCCAGAATTCTTAGTGTGACAACATGGAAACAGTGTTACTTTCTCTACAGGCCACACAAGTGACCCTGCCACTGACATCCTTCGTGGATGAAGAAGCAGAAATCTGATTAGCCATAAGTGGGTTGTATCTGACTGGAAGGAACACTGTGGACAGGCACACCTTACTTCCAGGTCTAAGTGCTTACCCCATGGACTTCAGGGCTCTCAGTCCCCACAACTTACCTGTCGGATTTCTCAGGGAGTAGGCATGAAGGCTCAGTCATAAGAAGGGATAAAGTGAAAAGTGAAATTATTTCATACATTTTGAGACCACTGTGTATTTGGGGGTTTATGAACTAGAAATATACTCTATTAGTAGTATTTGTCTAGATCACAGAAAATGATTAGTAAAATATATTCATCCTCCCCTGGGATATTAGGGGCTGTCAAAACAAAGGGCCACAGGCCAGAGGGCTTAAACAACAGAAATTAATTCTCTCACAATCCTGGAGGCTGGAAGTCTGAGATCAAGACGGTGTCAGCAGGTTTCATTTCTTTTAAGGTCTCTTTTCTTGACTTGTGGATGGCTGTCTTCCTCCAACGTCTTCCTGTGGTCACCCCCCTGCGTGTGTCTGTGTTCCCATCTCTTCTCATAAGGTCGGCAGTCATATCAGATTAAAGCTCACCCATATGATCTCATTTTAACTTAATTACCTCTTTAAAAACACTATTTCCAAATACAGTCCCATTTCGAGGTACTGGGGGCTAGGAATTCAACATGTGAATTTGGGGGGACATAACTTAACCTATAAAACCAGGTGAAATGCCTATTGTCCTCATTTTGCTCATAAGACAAGTGAGCCTCAAGAAACTAAGGGACTAGGTCAGAGCTTGGTGACCTGTAACGATGGGTGTGATGGGCCACGTCCCTTGAGCCTCTCCATTTTAATGCAGCCTGGTTGACTTCCAACTGTCAGTAT